AGCCGGGGGTTCGCTTCACTCATCTTGAAATGGGAAAGTTGAGCGTCTGAGACCGACACCTGTTGCCAGCACAGGCACCTGGCACCGAGACGGCCAGACATGGTGGAGAGCTCACCTGTGAGAGGGAGGAGAGTCCAGCTTCAGAGGGCAGGAGTCTTACAGGTCTGCTAGGAAGGGGAGGGGGCACTGCTGGGGCAGTGTCACAAGGAAAGCTGTTTTCATGACTGCTCTCCGTCACTGCTGATGGGCAGAGAAGTGTGGCCATGGGAAATCCTTAGCTCTCTGGAATTACAGCTTGCTCAATGTGGACTGCAAATGCCTTAGAAAGTAATTGTGCTAACATTTTTAGTCAGTGATCCGACATTTGAATGTGGCTGCCTGTGTCTCTCAAGTATTTTTTCATGTGCCTGCAAACTCACCTTGCCTTCCCAGTCAGCGAGCTGAAGTCAGGTGGCTGCAGTAGCACAGCGCTGAGACCACACCGATAAGCATGGCTCTCCGGTAGAGTCTGTTGGCTCATGGGTTTTATTGCATAGTCAGAACAGAATTTGGGCATCTGCTTCCGGAGCAGATGACAGTATAGCATCTCTCCTGACTTCTGTGGGATCCAGAATCTCTTGAAAACAAGGCATTTAGTTAGATGCAACTTGAAGAAATTGCTTCAAGTGTCTTCTCCCAGTGTCGTTAACCAATAGTTTATTTCTCCTGTTTTAGGTATAAAACCAATCTGCATGGCAAAAAGGACACAGGTAAGAAAGTGCATTTGGCATTCCGATGGTACATATTTATCCACAGCTATGCTTGACTTGGCTGCTAGAAAATAAGGCAGGTGCCTCTCACCCTCCTCAGCCTGTGGGTTGGTTGGGTGTCTTCCTGCAAAGACAGTTTCCTCAGGTTAAGTATGGTTTTAAATCCTGGTCTTGCATTTCTTTAAGGATTGACTATTAGGCTATCATAGAAAACATAGATATCCCAGCTGCTATTTGTGACTGAGGGTGGTTGCAGGTGCTATATTTGTTGCTGAACACACCAGTTTCCTATCTAGGTCTAGATAACACTGGGAGCAAGAAGTATTTAGAGAGGTGCTATCTCATAACTAGTTTCAGCGGTGCTTTCAGTAAAATGCTCAAGAAAAAACTTGGCACAAAACTTGCTTTTAAGCCTTCTCTAGATCCCTTGAGCTCAAAGTAGTTTGTACAACTCGTTGAAGTTCCTTCTGTGTGAGACTTGGCTTCCTGGGTAACAGGACGGGGGATACTTTCTTACTTCAGGATTCACTTATTTGCCTTTGAGGAATGTCGATCGGAGAGGTGAATTTTTATGTAGTTGTTGTTAAAAGTTCACTATCCACCTTTGGTTTCCTCAGCCTGCTTGTTAGGGGTTGCGGATTTTCTCATGTTCAGCACAACTTTTGCGTGCCTGACTTTCAAGCAAGTAAGAAATTCCCAATGAGCCTAGCAAAGCAGTTAAGCACACTTAAGCATGTGCTTTAAAAAAACCTCCAGTGCTTTATTATGAAAAGCTAAGGCTGACATTTCCTCTCTCTCAAGGCCAGAGGGAAATTCCCTTGGACTTCTATGGAAGTAGGATGTGCCCTCTCAACACTGCCAGCTCACTCTCGCCCTGTCTGGCTGAGGTTTTCCCAGGAAGAGCCATCTGCTGCATGTAATGAAATAGTCTCTCTTAAAAGTCAAACTGTTCTGTGGTCAGACACACTACCCTAAGGTCACGCTAGCAAAACAACACTGAAGCTTTCGGCTAGCTTCTCAGCTCCGAAACAACATGCGTAAATTAAATGTCTTTTGTCTTGTAACACAGCTTCAAACGGCAGGCCTGGCCCGCTGCTAGACCTTGAAGAAAGAGCACTCGGGGGTAGGTGCACATTTATGTGGTAAAATTCCTTATGCTTTTAAAATTACTTGTCTGCTTTTCTCTTGTGTGCGAATAAAATGCGTGTCATAAAAGATAAGAAGAGCAAGTTACTTAGTTCTGAATGTGCTACATGAGTATAGTGATTTATATTGCTTTTGAACAGCAGGTATGATTTGTTAATTGCTTCTGCCAAAGTATAGTAATTTTTGCTCCTCTTGGTAGACTTGTTTGTTTTTTCTTTTAAAAAGCCTGTTGCATTTAGAATTCTGATAAATGTTTCTGAATTTACACTCTGGTCCTATTTTCACTGAGTTTCAGCAAGGCAAACAAAATTGCAAAAATTGCACAGAAGCAAGCTTCCTTCTCTAAAGAACGTGTAAATGATACTAGATATCCCAAAATATGCATTTTATTGTTCCTAAATATATATTGTGTGGCCTAATACTCATTGGGTAAACATTTTCTCCATTCCTGAGAAAAAAATCTGGTCACTTGGTAGCATGTAGATGATTTTCTGGCTGCTTATGCTGACAGTGTCAGATGCTTGACAAATGTTAAAAATAGATTAAGACAGATCACTGTTAAGAATTGTGCTATGATTGCGTATTTTAATTATACTATATTACGGTCTTTGTTAGAGAGCTGCAGAGGCAGTCATTTATTCCTCTTGAATTTAGGCAGTGAGCTGTAGCTGCGGTGTTTTCTTTATACACTGGTGTTGTATAAAGAAGTTGTATAAAGGTGCTGTATACAAAAGTTGTCAGAAAGCCTCAGGTGTCAGAAATGGAAAGAAACCCAATATATTAAAGTATATTTGGCAAGGCCATATTTTATAGGCATCTGCTTTTTGAACAGCCAAAACTTCACTGATGCTTTTCTTACTCAAACCTTATTAACACAATAGATATATGGTAATTGGTTTAGACAATACAGTGTTTTGCCAGTTTGTTTTCTGAGATTACACATTCTTTGACAAGGATGCTGCTCGAAATGTTTGATCTTTAAGGGTTTATAGAAGAATAATACAGTTTTAGTTACTTTTTGTGTCCCAGCATTAGGGATTCCAGACAGAACTGAGTTAAACTGTACAAATGTTTACTGTAGCTCTCTGGGGAATAGAGTTCACAAACTTGTAACTGAATTCTAGAATTTCAGTTTCTCTTGTCTTGGAGATTTTAACTTTTGCAAGGTAAGAATACAGGCATGTTCAGAGCGCTTTTGGAAAACGTTTTTTGGCTATCTGGCATGCTCACTTTGGAAAGCTTACATAGACTAGGAGTGGAGGAAAGCAGATCAGAATTTCACGTGGAATTTGATTGCATCAGCACTCATGGATGCACAGAAGAGAAAAGAGATTTCTGTTAAAGCAGAAATTTAAAAGGAAAACATGAAAATAAGCATTTATGTATGGCAGAATATACATGGCAATCTTTCTGGAAAAAAAAAAGCAGTTGTGTATTTCTAGTCAGAAATATCAATACATTGTATGTATTTCCATACAGAAATTATACCTCCTCATTTAGGAGATCTAAATTGGTGTGCAATATCTGTATTTGTTACATAACAGGAAAAGTCTATGTTTTTGTTTTGTTTTGAAAGAAGAAAAATGCTAAGCCTGCTGAATTTGCTACAAATAAGCTTACTGAATCTTCTGGGAGCTGCCTCGGTGAGAGGATGAAACAGTGGGTGTTGTTCCAGATGCAGAAGAGCTGGCTGACTGGGAACAGGGAGTCGATGGAATTAGGGCTGTTGGTTTCTTTGATGAGCGTTGCAGTCCTGCAAACTGTATGCAGCCTTTTTTGGAGCACTTTAAGACATATTTGAGGAATATTTCCAGGGACAATGGAAGGCGAATTAGTACTAACCTTAGAATGTAACTGCATATAAGCAGGACATCAAGATTTCACAGATGCCTGGATGACAGGATGAATGTGAGACGTAGAGTGCCCTGGCTGGTCATCCTGGGCAGGATCTGTGAGGTTCTCTGAGTGATTAGGCCTATGATGTCTGTGGCTCTGCAAACCAGGAGTTAGAGTCATGGAAGCACAAGCAAACCAAGAGCTAGCGTCACAAAGACACAAGCTTGTTAGCAGTAATGCTTCATTTTAAGCTACAGTTGCTACTTCAAGTTATTTGCTATGCAGTCTGCTGTGGTAGATATTCTTTCAGTTCTTGAGTACAGATGCTAGGTATTGCTGTGACTTTTTGTCAGTGGTATGTGGCTTTTCATGCCTAATTTTAAACGTTACAGCTGTGTTTATTGACAGAAACGCGTATCAAGTCCTGCTTACCTGAGCACTGTAAAAATCAATAATCACAAAAACAAGCCTTCTTGGGGCCAGTACTTCACCACAAACTTTCCTGTTTATGTGTAGACTAAAGCACCTTAGCGTTCCTCAGTACTTGATCGTGCTGAATGGGAATATGGCCAGGCTGCAGCAGGACTCCTTTATATCCTACGTGCTTGTGTTTTCTGCCTGTGCCAAAGCAGGGTAAAGCAGGAAGAGTGTGCACGCAGCACCCGTTCCAGCGCGGTGCCAGCGTGAGGCAGGGGCGTGGATACAGTCCCAGGCACTGGGAAGTTCTGCCTAGTGTCCCCCTCTTGCAGACGCTGCCCTTTTTAGATTTTTCACACGCTCATGTGTTTGGAGATTTCCTTCTGCTTTTTGTTGTTGTTGTTGTTGTTATTGTTGTTTCTGCTTTTGCTGCTTTCTCTCCCTTTAATCAATATAATATTTGTAACACCCTGCTGTCCATACCAGCTAGCTTTCTGATTAGATCTGCACAGCATATGACCATTTCCGTTCATCATAAAGAGTTTGTGGGAAAGCTTTTGTGGTTAAGCTGCCTGCCAGTATCTCTGTAAGAGAGTGTGTGAAAAGCTATGTAGTACACCCAGGCAAGTGAAGAAGGAGCTATTGATAAATCTAAATTTAGTGGGATAGTCTAGGAGATAGTAATTGTTCCTCAGAAGGGCAAACCCAAATCCCAAAGTTTGGCCTTATGGAGTAGGAAATTCTGCTGGCATTTGGGGAGTTTGTTGTCTGAGACCAAGTAATCTCGGAATAAACAGCGAAGCACGTAAGCAAAGACTCCCGTGACTTTCTAAACGAGATCAGTGTGAGGGAGAAGTCTTAAAAGAATAGGCGATCATGCCGTCCACATCCGCCTTGTACACACATACGTACAGAAAGATCGTGGTTTTTGTGTGAGGGTTTGTGTGTAGAAGTTCAATGAAAGTTAATCCTTGACCGGTTAAGCAAAAGGGATTGGACAGATTTTGTATGGCCCCACAGGTGTGGACAACGGGAGATAAGTTGCTGAAGACACGGCCTGTGTGATCTCAGGCTGTTACAAACACATGCTATTCACGTAGCTATCCATTTTTCTTGTGTATCCCAGACCCAGCGCCAACCTAGTATAAAGAGATCAAAATGGTAGTTGATGAAAGGATATTTTTTCGTATGAAACATGGGGGGATTATCAGTTGCATTCCGCCCGCATGCTTAGCTCAGATAACCCTTTGCGTGGGCTAACGCAGGTTCTTTCCCCCGCTTTTGCACTGGTGTAGGTGGGAAGTTTACAAGTACGAGTGGTCCTGCTGTAGTGCACAAGGTTGAGGCATAGATCAGGTGCCCATTGTGCCGGGCAGCGTGTGGGTGCCCAGGAGGGGCCTGGCCCCCAAGGCCTGTGTGGGCTTGATAAGGGAGAGCCAAGGTGCGGGTAAAGGCTCACACGTCCTGGGGAGGGGGGAGAGCAAGTGCCTCCGAAAGATAGGAATAAATCCTATTGAGTTCGGGGGTGGGCTGGGTCGGACTGTGCAGAGAACAGAGGTTGCATGATGGGTAGGTGGAAAATAAAAAGAAAGAACTCAGAGAAATAGCAAAGGGAATTGTTTCCCCTGACTCTAGAGGACATGAACCCCACAGAAGGACTCAGATTTCCTCATGGACTTGTGAAATGCGTAAGCTATCCGTCAAAATCATTTCTGTGAATGGAAAATTACTTACAAAGGAAGATTTATGTTTTTGGTCACAACTAAATAAAGTAGAAAAAAAATGTGATACAAGAGAGGAAAATTGATGGCCACTTTTACATTTTAATCAAATTTGTGGGTTGAAATATTTTTTTTTAATTTGTTGACATTAGGATTAAGCCCACAGTTCCTTCTGAAATCATTAGAATTGGCTTTGGGTCAAAAACCACCTGCAAAATGGCTGTTATTAAAAATGAAACTCTTCTATATGTTCTTCCTTCCATGGAAAAGTGCAGTTTTTCAAAAATGTTTTGGTCTCAGAATGAAAATGAGTTTGAATAATCCAAATTTTTATTTAGAGTTGATATTTCAGACACTTTTGTTTCACTTTTTTCAAAACCTGTATGGAATTATGTCCAAGTACGAATTTTAAGTAAAAAGCTTTCTCTTTCTGAACATTTGCTTCTTAAGTTTCCTTAGAGAAATGTTAAGTGATTGGTTTAGCCATTTTGATGCTTTTTCCAGACATTCTTTTGCATAATGTTGTTTGAAACCAATTTTTTTTCCCAAATGCTTTGATTTTTTTCCTGCCATAAAAGTATTTTGGTGAAGCATCCGCAAATGTCTTTACTGCCTTGTGCTGACTTGTCAGTCTGACTATTCCAGGTACTCATCAATTCTGTATTTCTCGTAAGTCACCTCCAACCACAAGTCTCAGGTTCTCATGCTGCCACCAGCATTGCTTTTCCTTAGAGGTATTATGTTAACAATTCTCTCTCCAATTTGTATCTAAATTCAATAATTGAAATTATGGTTTCATCTAATATCTTCTATTTTCTCCTCAGATTAAAAAAAAAAAGTCTCTATCTTGGGCGAAAAGCAGCATTTATTGCAGTTTTCCTTATGGAACATTATTTTACTTTGATTTCCGTTGTTGGATCTGACAGAATGCACAGCAATCTAACCTAATTTTCATATTGAGAAATCTGGCAGCTCTTTTCCCCTCAATGTCAAAACGCATCTGAACTAAGATAATGATAACTGTAGAGTACAATTGCTTGCTGAAGAGTATTCATGAGTCAATCTACATTAAAAAAAATGTTGCCGCAGCTCTTTTCAGCTGTGTTTTTAAAATAACTTATACCCTCCAAAAAAGAGGAAAGAGGCATCTGGTCTTCTGAAAAGCAAAGATGAAAGCAGATTTAAAAGAACGCAACAGGGAACGTGTTGCCTGAAAGGTCTGTGGCTGCGGGAGGCAGGTACCCCAGCTAAGCTCCTGCTTGTTTCAGAGCCCCGTTAAGGACTTTCACGGAGACCATTTGCAAGGTAATAAAGAACAGGTAATTTATTAAAGGGAAAGATACAAGCAAGATACAAGTTGCCGTTGATAAATTCACTCTCTACAATAGTGCTGATATATGATAATAATGCTAGCAAAATACTATCCTGGGTATTACTCACCAGAAGGAGGAAGTGCAATTCCTACCAAGAAGTGAATTCTGCCTCTTCACTACCTTTGCGTGCTCTCTCTTCTTTTCATACCAAACACACTGAACTCGGCCCCTCTCCTCTGGTCCCTTCGCGTGCTCCAGAGGCCCTGTCCTGACCCCGCTTGCCTGTTGGGAGGTGCTGCTGCAGCTCCATGCCCACAAGTCCAGCCAGTGGGGCTGAGCACGTGTCCTCAGCAGGCACATACACACACACGTGTGCAACACTCGTGTATGTTGTACGCTGGGAGAGGGGGCTGGTCTGGTTGCCCCATGTGGTGCTGTTTGTCTGCGCTCCTTTGTGTGCGTGGAGTCAAACTGTTCTCACACAACCTCACACTGTCCTTTCTAATATCCTTCCTGTTAATCACCTTCTCTTCCCACTTTTCGCCTCCCAGGTAACTCTGTGGAAAAGGTGTCTGTGGCAGGGTTTGCCCAGAAGAAATTAAAATATACCTTGTTGCTTTGTGCTCTTAGAATGAGAGGCAGATTCCAAGCAAGCCATGCAAGCCGCTTGCTCTCTAGCCATAAGTTCTAATCTGGCTCCCACATGTTTTCTTACCGGCTGACTTTGATCAGTGTCTGCAGAGGGCTGTGGCATGAAGCTGGGTGCTGACAGGTCTGATGACTGCGCTGCTCGTGGCCCTGCAGAGAGCAGACAGAGCGCTACATGGTGCTTGAAAGGGCATCGAGAAAAGCTGCCATGCTAGGGTGCTTGTGGCTGGAGAAAACGCAGCTGCGAGAGAGACATTAGCTAAAAAGGTCACAATGGGGGAAGCAGAGGGAAGGAAAAGGAGGATGAATAAAGGTGTCCTGAAATTTCTTCATCAGGTTAGCAGGGCGCAAGAAAGATTTTCCTGCTGTTCTTCATGTCGTATGAGTTCTGTGAATAAAAATAGGTCACTGTTTTTCAGAGCTTTTAGTTTGGCATCCCACATGAAATAAAATTTACTTAAAAGTCAGTTCTGTTGGACTACTCTTCCTGATAAGTGGATCTCTGGATAGTAGAAGAGTCCTACTGTGATTAGCTTGCGTGCCCTCTGGTGAACAGTGACCCAGAGTGCCTTGAGTAGTGTACAAAAACATCTCGAGTGTCTAAAATCCCAAGATTTAGGAATGCTTAGGAAACAAGCTGGTGTTTTTTACAAGAAGAGCTAGATGGTTCCATGTTTCTTTGGATTCAGCTAATGGGAACCTTTTGGTTTCTTTCACTCGGGTTTTGTGTAAATTCTGCATTACCAGAGCATTTTGCTATGGCACAGCTGTTGGAAAGCAGACTCAATATGAGCAGATAGTTGAAGCTGATCAGCCTCATTGCTTTGTTCTCTCGCTACAGAAATTACAAAAATCAGGCCAAAGTACAGTAGAATGGCTTTGAACAAAGTGGCCCTGTAAAATCTAACCAGATTTTCTAACCAGGTATTTCTACAAAGAGATTTTGGAATTTATGTTCCTATGATGCCAATTCAAGGAATAACCTACTGTTGTGCCAATATAAGTACCAAACCAGCAGGTACTTTGTGCCTATAGAAGTCAGGCACATGTGAAAATTTACATTGTCTGCAGATTCTTATTTGCGTTTAGAAATGTCTAATGATGTGTACTAAAGCCTAGTTTGTGCTGCTACATGTGTGTGCCTGTGTGCGTAAGAGTTTTTCTAGCACAAGTCACTGCAGACAGTTACAATGTGTTGCCGTTAAGTGTCATTGCGTAGATAACATAGTTGCTGCTTTAACGTTTGAGTTTTTAAATAATGGTTTGTGTGTTGGGTTTTTTTGTTTGCAACTGTGCATTAGTTGACCAGCTTTTAGAAAATACATATACCCATTTTACAAGTAATTTTAAACTTCAGATTTCTTTTATTTGCAGGCCCACAGAGTGAGAGCTGCACTTTGTTGAAGAGTACCTGGAAGCATTTTGACAGCTACAATGACCTACTGCTCAACTTTTGTTGAACTAGAATCAGATACAAGAACCCAAAATTCCCCAGAATTCATTGATGACGTAAATGACCACCTGAGAGACTTCAGGGTCAAATGAGCGGAAGAGAAACATTGTGCAACACAGGAGTTACCCCTGTGAGGGTGACCCCATGTTTCTTTTGCCAGATTCTGACCTCAGAAATCAGTGGTTTACTGCTTGAGAAATTCAGAAAAGCAGAAGTATTGTCCCTGTTTGAGACTTGCCTAATGCAGAAGACAACATGGATGGAAAAAATGTATTTAAAACCCAGGAAAATATTTCCTGCCTAAGGGATTTGTCAGAGAATGGTGATGACCTCATTCGTCTTAACAGTATGGTCAGTGTCACTGCTGGCAAAGCAGAGAAGTACTGTGGCAGGCAGGTGCATTCCTCCCCTGCAAGTGTAATCTCTCATCACACAGACAACTGCTGCCTTCGCACGGAAGACTCTGTGTCTGGTCAGTCTCTGGCAGCTGTCCAGGCGTGTAAAAAGACAGGTCTTGGTACACCTCTAACCATGAATACTCTGTTCAGTGAGCAGGCAGATACTGCCACAGTAAACCACGATTATTTCATAAAAGATGGATCTGAAAATTCTGCCACTGCTCTGAAGATTTATGAAGAGAAAATTTCAAGTGTAAGTGATGACTTTTCTGAGGATGACCTAGAGTATTTTGAATGCTCAGATGTGCTGACAGCGCATGAAGATGAAATCTGGAAGAAGAAATTGGAGTTTTTATTAGAAAGTGATGATGAAGATGATTTAAAACTGAGTAAGGATTGTGATGGGTGTGCTTACTTCCTCAGTGAAATGCCTTGTCTGTTCCAAGTGTCAGATAACAGTACGCCTATGGATACCACCATTGGCTTCTGTGGTCATCAGTCAAAATTCAAAGGAGTAAATGTAAGGAGAGACCCCTCTACGTACAGCCAGTCAACCCTGCAGGCAGAGATGACTCTCACTGTTGGACACCACCGAGATAAAAGTACCAGTCTGAAAGACAAAGAAAAGCAGGAAGTGCCTGTTGCATCTGCAGCCATTGAAAATGACCGTCCCAGAACTGAAGAAGAAAATAATGGAAGTGGCAACTCCACTGCAGATTTCTCAACCGACAAGTCAGAGAACGAGGATAATATACGTGCCAAGCCAGATTCCTCTGCTGGTGGCATAGGTGCTTGTTTGACAAATCAGCCTTCAGAGATGACGACAGAGAACAGTACAGACACGGACTTGCTAGATGAAAGCTCCTTGCTGCTAGAGGAGGGGGCAGGAAATTTACTGGAGGCAAGTGCAAGGCACACTGTCTGTACCTTAACGGAAAGTCTAAGAAGAAACCTTTTAAAGTTGTTAAACCCTAAAGAGCTTTGCAGATATGTAAGTAATATAGGACAATCTTTTCAGGCTGCAGCAGAGGTTAGGGAATCCAGTGCTCTGTTTCCCAGTCAGGAAGGTGTCATTACCACAGAAATCCCTGAGGAGACAGAAAGCTTGCAAATGCAGGCTGGTTTGTGTCACCCAGAAGAGGCAGATGAAGACCGTCATAGGGAAAGGAAAAGCACTTGGGGCCTGTCTGAGCAAAATCAGATGCCACATGAGAACGTCTCACCCAGGGTAAGTAAAGTGTTTATCATTCAATAGAAAGAGCTGCTCTGCTGATTTAAATACGTTTTATTCCTGTTTGTTATAAAATATTTACAATTTAAATTACTTCGAGAGATACTGTTCATGTACTTGTGAATGACAGCTACGGCTGGGAAGGAAATCTGGTTTTGAAAAAGGCCCAAATAAACCATAAGCTGTTCTAATTATAGAGCGAGACTGATCGTAGTAAGAGGCACTAATGGGACTCTGGACAGCTGGATAGGGAAATCTGATATGTAGGCTGTTGCCCAGGTCTTACCAACATAATGTGTCTTTCAACACAGAAAGCTTCTCAAATACCTATTGTGAGCAGAGAAGTTATTTTGTTTCCAGTTTATACTCCAAGAGCAAAATTGTCATCCACTTACAGTGCTGGAAATCTAAACCAAATTGACAGGGTTTTGCTCTGAATTTGTAGCGATGAGGGAAATTTAATCCAGAGAGTTCATGTTACAAAGGTGAATGGAGATGCGCTTTTTAAAAATGAAACAATGAGAGAGTCAGGTATGCCAGTTGAAATGTAAAAAATAATTTAAAAAGCCTAAAGTGGTACTCTGTGTACTTGCAGATTTTACACTGTTTCCTCTCATGACCTCATGGTCTAGCCCCAGGTGAAATTCTTTATTTATCTAATACTTCAAAGCATCTTAATTAATAATAGGTCCTAAAAGCCAACTGTGCCAGCTGTATGGCATTACATACTGTACAGCATGCTGGGAGGCCTCAGGTTTGCCGTGTGTCATTCAAGGGCTGGTCTCTCGTCAGCCTTCAGCCAGCACCCTCGGCACAAGGTGCTGGTGTCACTCCTGAATTCCAGAGCCCATGTCGACGGCCTGCCGGGTGCCAGCAGCGTTGAAGTCCTGCTGGAACTGGCAGGTTCAGAGGGGCTGTGGGGCATAAGCAAAGTTCTTAATGCTCGCGCCCATACCCTGGGAAGAACAGTGCGTGGTATTTGTCTGATGCCAGAATCCTGCCATTATTTTGTTTTCACTCCTGTCAGAGCAGCCCGCTTTCATAAAATTTGTGAGGTGCTTCGTTTGTCCTTTCTGAAATAAATCTGGGTCACTTCTAGATAATTTTAAGTTCTGTTGTACCAAAAGCAGAGAGGATATAACTATAACATGGAGACTTTATTGACAGGGGTGAATTACCTTGCTAAACTATTTCCTCTTTAAAACAGCGAGAAACTGGGGTGTAGAATTAATCATCTCATTTCAGAGATGAGCTTGCTTTCGTTAACAGAAATGGTTCAGCTGATCAGGTGAGAGATTGATGTAGAATTTACCACTATATTTTGTAGGAGAAAGAGAACCAGAATAGCCTTAACTCATGTCTGCTGAGTTTATTTGCATGTGAATGGGACAATTTGCCCCTCAGTTCAGAAGCAGACTTTGTCACCTTGGCTAAAGATAGTCCATTTCTCAGGCATTGCAAAGGGAGCAGAGAACAGCAGCAAACTCAGATTATACCGTGAAGATTCTTGTCATGCTCTGAGATGCTTTTAAAAAAATTGTGTGTAAAAGGATCATTTTAACTCAAATTTTACTTGTACTTTTTCATCACACAGCCACATTTTGCTGCCCTTCTCTTCTTTGCTTTATCCCACCCTAATGTATTTGGCTTTTTTGAGTGTTTTGTCATATTCTGAAGACCCCAGCTTTATGTATTTATTTAGGAGATAATTATGATGTGCCTGTCAGTTTTGTTATCAGGAAGTACTGGTAAGTAAAGATAGTGCCAAGATCACTGTTTACTCTAGCTGGCAACATAGAGTTTCTGCAGAGCAGAAGTATATTTTAAAAATTTTGCCTTAATTCCAAATTAAAGTGCTTTTACTGGTGTTTCTATCTAGCCTTCACTGTATCAAAATACTTTGTCTGGAATTACATAACTTACTCTTTTAATAAGTCTCAGAACATTATTTGCTGAGCTATGTGAGCCCTCAAGAGAGGAAAATGTAGCTCTGCTCCTGTATCATACCGCAACCTCCACTGACCAAAGGAGTCAATGGTTTTTAGAGCCAGAGCTTTGTTTTCAGAAAATTCTCTTTTTTTTTATCTAGTCCTGATATAAACTTAGGCATAGCTTGCAGAGTTACTCAGCACTCTACAAGCATAACACGGCCATAAAACCATTACAAGAAACAGTAAAAAATGTGACATGTTGGCCACTAAGTTGGATGATACAGTGGATTGAATAGAAGATCTCCAGATCTGAAAATGAAGCAGCCCAACCTGGGCTGAAGGGACAGATCGTGTTTGCTGTAACATGTGAGGCTGCAGACCGGGTGCTGTTCCTCACTTCCTGGTGACTGGGAGAGAGGTGGCTTGAAATATTTCAGAGGTGTTTCAAGACGTGCTTGAAATATTCTGGAGGAGGCTCACTTGACCTGGAAAATGTTTTGCAGGTCTGTAGGTCGTCTGTGTTTGATCATCTGTGTCTTCTGGATCTCCACAGAGACTATCAGATGAAAATGTTCCTGATACCAGGTTGTCATGAAGAAGTAGAATCCTTATACATTTCTTGTTCTCTCCATGTTCTCTGCTGTTTCCTTCCATAACATGGAGGTGGCAGAAGCGCTCACTTACTCCCTACAGTTGTTCTTTGCTTTTCATTTAATGGTACCTGTCAGGCTTTGGAACACAGTGGTTCTTGTTAGCAGAGCAAAAAACCCAAGGGAGAGTCCTTACACTGTGATTTTACAGCAGATGAAAAAGCAAACTTTGGTTGTGAATTGGCTGCTTTCGTTTTCCTTAGCCATAGCCATTGTGCCACTGTGTATCCCTCCTCTACTCACAGAAACTATGCCTTTAAAACAAAGCACACAGACTATATAGTTCCTATACAAGTTTAAATACGGAACAGTGATTTCACCTTTCTGTCATCACGCACTATGCAGTTTGTTACATACACACAAAATTGCTTGTTCTCCTGCATTCACATAATTAAATTCTCTAGTTTGTTCCAATTCTTTTGTCACCCCCAGAGCCGAGCAGACTCTCCAGTAATTGAAGTAATTGTTAAAATGCATGGCATTAAACCTCAGAAATCTTCTATAGGAGGAGGGAACAAGGCACCAAAAAAAGAACAAATCAAGCCGAACAGTTCTAGGACTACGCTAGCTGAAATAAATCTAATCTAAGAAAATACCGAAGTTAAGCCAGCGAGGTTTTATAAAACATGTTTAGAGGATTAAGGTATATGTACTTACGAACAAAAATAACATGGAGCTGATTACCACATACCCTAGGAGCTCATGTCCCTGTTAAATATCCATTTTAAACATTCATAAATGAGCCGCTAGGAGACTTCAAATTGCATTCTGCTTTCAGACTTACTTTTGTCAAATGCAAGGCAGGACACTCCATTATAGGCTCTCTTCTTATTGCACTTGTTTTTCAGCCATCAGAATGTGTCTAGACTCTACAATACTGCCTGTCTAGAAATGCTTGAGACAGACAGATGCCAACATGGATGGACTCAGAGGTTAGATAGATAAAGGGGTTCTTGAAATAATCAGCCCACTTTCCAGTGTCCATGAGAGAACTCTCTTTTCAGGTGCACTCCAACCTACTTACTGATCATCAGCAAGAATTCCACAGGTATTAGAAAAAGCTGTGATTGAGGCTGCAGTGGCTGTAGGGCATAGAAAAATAAACTCTGCGTTCTGAAGGCTTGAGAGGGAAGTGGAAGTAGCAGAAGGAGCACTAGGCTCAGCCTAGATACTCAGAACTGACCAAGAACTGGAACTGACTGCAGAGACACATCCAGGATCACCCCCTCCTTGGACACACACCTTCCTTGAAGGTGTTTGTCTAAACTCAAAGGCTAGTCTCTTCTCCTGCAGAGCACACCTAAGCAGGAGACCGAGGCATTGGGAGCCCACAGGGACTGCAGCTGGGGACCTGAGGTTCCTCGGCTCGGGGTCTCTGGGTAAGTATGTGCTGACCAGGGAATCTTGAAGACAGTGTGGTGGCAGCTGCATGGTGCTTGGGATGGGAACAGCAGTTAAAGTCATTGACAACAATTTTCTATATCTCTTCCTTCCCCGTTGTCCACAGCATGTAGTCAGCTCCACATCCTACTCAAGCTGGATGGAGAGACAGAAAGGATGAAAGGAGTTGCAGCTGAAGTGGGTGGCTTTTGCAGCAAAGGAAAGCAATATTTGCTCCAGCCGGTAATCCATTTGCCATGAACTTACAGAAACTAAGAACCGAGTCTCTGAGCAGCCCTTGCCTCTACCTGAGCACAGAGCAACTCGTGGGAAATCCTTCACTACATATCCTTCACTAAGTAACAACACTTGCAACTTTTCAGAATCGCTCCTCAGAATTAGGTGTCTGCCAGCACTCATTCCACATTTACAGCTCTACTGTAACCCAGAGGACTCACCCATTACATATCAGAATTGTTGGTTGCAGCCATCCAGCACATCATTACAAGTTAACAAACAACTATGGATGGACCTGGGATTTGTGAGGGAAAAAAAACAACACAAAAGAGTTATGAAGTTGAGTTTGTGGCTGGATAAAAACTAAAAAAATTAAACATGTCTGCAAATATTGGTGTTTTCTAAACTCAGTCTGATGGGTTTTAGCATGTCTTCGTTTCTGCTGGGAGTAGGTGCAAATGTTCTCACAACCACTAGAAGGATATGTGGTTGAGTGTACAAACTAATTCGTGTTGTTATATCCTGTTAATGGCTATTTGAAAGTTTTGTGGTTTTTTTTTTTCAAAGGTTGACTGCTAAATTCCTCTCTACTTTTACAGATTGTCTGGCAAATGAATGTAACCAAAAGCATAAAGCATAATTCGTTTAGGAAACAATGCCCTTTTATCTAGTGAAAAACTCTAGACTTCTCTGTCTATGATTTGCTATGGGTGAGACATGCTTGCCACCTCTGTGGAATTGTTTTAGTGCTGAAGAGGACTAGAGGAAATCCTGGAGTACAAAAGCTTGGCAGGGACTCTGGCACAAGTGAAGGCTCAGCTCTCGGGGAACGGTGAAGAGTTTCATGGATTTTGTGTGCCAGGCAGTGATGGCAGCGCTTTCTTCATGCCATGCAAGCCCGAACATCAGCCTGTTGTTCTCCTTGATAAGGTCTACCCTCCTTGCATAAATTAAGCTCAGTTTGGTTAAGTTTAATTGAGAGGTGGGTTGTTTCTACATAAAGTGACAGTTTGGGATGTTTTGATAGAGAAGAACAAAGGAGGTGCAGGGGGAATATGGATTTTCATTTCCTGCCCCACTTCTCCCAGCAATACCCCTAAGGTTGCAATGCATACCTTATTGCTAGAGGAGGGCTGAGTGTGCCTGATCCTGAGCAATTCCTTACCGCCTGGACAAAGGCAAGAGCTGGAATGATCTCTAGCCCTCCCAGCTGAAGCGGGACTTGTCACCTCAAGGGCTCAGAGGTGACCAAAGACAAATTTCAAAGACAGCTTACAACTGATGCAGAGATGTTAATTTCTTGTTACGAGTTTTGTTCTGAAGTAAATAGCAGGGTAGACGTCGGGAAGTTTCTCTGAAACTTCTCAAGAGTGATAAATGTTAAGAAAGCATTTTTGTGAAACTTAAGACGACAAAGCCCTTGAGAGAAGCAAAGGAGAAGGCCGGTTCCCAAAGAATTAGCCTGGGTGGTTCCAGAAATACACCAGTTTGGATTATATAATAATTATATAACTATGGTTGGACACTCAGGCTGTTAGCAAAAGGCATAGGTATGACCATTTTGTTTTAGGTTGGTTTGGTTTCTTTTATCTGTTTTTATCTAGCTGGACTATAATGGTCATTGATTTTCATCTCAAATTTTATATTTCTGAGCATTTGGATCCAGATCTGAAACTCAGCAGGATTCAAGGCTGTTAAGACCCAGGAGTCTGATTTCAGTCCATTAGGTTGATAGCCAGAAGTCAGAAACTTGACTGTTGACAAATATTTTTTTAAAATGAATAAAAATTGGATAACTTCGAAGACAGGACTCAAGTTCAGGCCTGTGTCAAACAGCGATTCTGATTTTTGATTACGTCTCTTTACTTCTTCTTTGTAGAATCAAGATTCTGATCTTAAAGTCTTTACTCAGAATTGTGAGACATTGTGTATGGAGCCTGAAAAAGAAAAGGAAGGTGTCTTCATGACTTGTGAGAGTACGGGAACCATCCATCCAGCTTCAGAAACGCTCTGTACTGAAAAAACATTACAAGCAAAACCCGCAAATTTAGAGACCTATTCTCAACACCATCCTCCTTGTGATAAAAGAGAAAGTTGTCACCAACAAGTGCTTTGTGAACAAGGAATTAATGTTATTAGTAATGGCAACAAATCAAAGAATGATGTTTCACCTTTTCCTTTATGGGATCCAGGCTCTGTTCCTGATAAACAAGAATGTTTATGTGCTGGTCTTTCTTCTGCAAAGCTCTGTGATGATCCAAGGGAGGGAGAGCAAAGGTATGGTTTTGACTCGCGTGATAGCAATGACACAGCCATTCTCTACAGTCTGTCAGATGAGGAATCTCCATTTGAAGCTAATCCCAAATTGGTCCTGGAAGCTGGAGGACCTGGGCGCAAAGGAGATGCTGATGTATCTGCAATGCACGACAAGCTGTGGAAACTGCTTCATGAAGATGACTCAGACTATCAAGTCCCATTTCAAAATCGAGGGATCACTAGTTTAGAAATTAGACCGACTGATATCAAAGTCTCAGAACTGAACTTGGTACAGGAGACCTGTTCTGATCGTCCTTTGCCAATGAACATGAGAGAAGAGCAAGAAGCTGTTACACAACCAGCTAGCAGACAAAGAGCAGAGAGGGAAGACTGTGATGTTTCTAATCTCCTACTTAAAACAGATGAAGCAAGTAACAGTGCATCCATAGAAGACATTTGCCTTGCACAAGTGGTAGAAACAGATGGTGTTTGTCTATGTTCTGGCACTGGAAATAAACCAGAAGCGCCATCCCTTTGTGTTTCAGCAAATAGTATCGTGTTAACTCTTGGAGAGTGCTTGGAGCAGAAGCCAAATCAAATGTTAACTGACAGTAGTGGATCCATACAGATGGCTGTTGCTTGGGAAGGAAAGCTTGCCAACGATAACGCTTTGCAAACATATGATACGGATTCTCCTCAAAGATCAAAAGATGCTCAGGGTGGTAATCTAGCCTGTGGTCATCCAGCACGTGACACAGAAAACCCAGCTTACGTGTCAGTTAAGTCCCATAGGACAGTTGGACAATTACTTGACACTGAGCATGATGTATCCTTGATAAATGAGTCTGTAAGTGGTCAAGGGTGTCATTTTAGAGACTGTTATCCAGCAAGGAAAGAACTGGCTTACTTCCCTGAAGAGAAAGACATTTTCCCCAGTGAAGATGCCAGTCAGTTCACACAGGAAGAACAGTGTTCTGTTAACACCATACACAAAAGGTATGAAAAGGACTTACAAGAAAAGAGAAGTTGCTCGGACTTGAATGCACAGAATGACAGTAATTCTGACAGTTACCATCTTTCTAAAAATCATGACTGTCAAGATTTTCACGTTGTTTCTAGTGCACAGAAATACAGTTATGTAATGCAATTGCCTAATTTAATTAAGACTCCCGAAACCACAACAAGTGAGAATCTACTCCAGAGCACAGACCAACTGACGGAAATAGAAAATCAAAAAGAGGCATTCACTTCCTCTTCTGAGGATCCATTTTTAAGAGATTTTTGTGTAGAAGTGCCCAGATACCAACCACGTAAAGCTGGAGAAGAACAGAGAGAGGTTTGTATAGGTGCTGAACAAAGGGCTGAAACTTCCTGTGACTCAGAAGTTAGTCATGTTTCAGGGAGTCAGACTGCAGTTTCCCCTCATAATACAACTGAACAACATCTATTTTTTGTCGACAGCACCTTCAAGTCTGATGAGCAGTTGAAACCAGATTCTTTCAAAAATGACACATATGCATCTGGAAGCATAACAGCAGTCAGTACCTCGGTGCCTAGAAAGGCTCAGCATGAGTCCCACAGCACACCAGAGGTGGACTGTAGAGATAACTGTAATCAGTTTGGTATCCAGCAACCGACTGTAAAAGAAGCGTTGCCATTCTGCGCACCGCTAAGCCGCTCAGAGCGCCTGCTCACCGGTGTGTCAGCAAAGGGAAGTCAAGCGGAAACTGGGTCCGCACAGACTATGGTGAAAGCAGATGAAAGAATGAGTACCCCGGAAACTGTCTGTGGAGCATTGCAGCATCATTTCCATGGGGTACCTGAAGAAAACGGGGAAAATAACCGAGGGCTTCAGAAAGCTGTTGACAATAACCCAGGTGAAGCTGAAGGGAAGTCTCCTTCGCACAGTTCAGCTAGCTCCAAGGCTCACAGCCAGTGTATGACTACCAGCACTCAGCAGTCCTTTCCAGACTTGAGCTCTCCTGGCAAGCGAACCGAGGCTGATAATTCACTGAAGTCAACTGACTATGACAAAGATGAAGAAGTCATGACATCAGAGAGTGTAGTTATAGGTTTAGGTAATTTGCCACCAGCTGATTCGGCAGACAAACAGTATTGTCAAGAGCGCCCTCGCTGCAGCAGAACTCAGCCATTCTTAGCGCTGCCCACACGCGACCCGTTCCCAGTCAATGCAGAAAGGCTGAGAATTCAGGAAGGGTCAAAATCCTGCCAGATATCACCCGCTGTCGCTGAGCCTGAGCCCAGCAAGTGTAAACAAGATCCAGCAAAGAGTGGGCCTTCAGCTGCTGGTGCTAAGAAGAAATTTCGACTGGCAACCCTGTCAAAAAAACCCCGGCTGGAGGAGAGGGGAAGTGTCAGCAAGGATCCTAGCTGTGTTAGAAAGTCTGTGAAGAGTGAGACAGGGGCGATTCGTAAAGAAGATAAAAAAGAGCAAAGGAAGCTAATTTTGAAAAAGGATAGCAAAGGTAAGAGAAAACTGATTTTCATTTCTGTCCTTTCTCATCATTCTGGCTACAGTATGAAATTCAAGTTTGTTAAACACACTGCAAGCCTCCTTTATTCTAAATCCTGTTATGTAAAGGTGTCCTGCCCTCCCTGATGTCAATTGCCAGTTCAGTGAACTGAGTAACTAGTGCTGTGCTCGTGCCAGCGAGCTGAACCTTCTCTAACATCCTTTTGCTAGCTGGCATATATTTTAAATTTATGAATTTTTTAGCCTGTTTGAAATCATTACTTCTTAGTTTCTCTCTTCAAGCAACTTTTCAGGGATGCCCACCATAATGGTACCACATAACTATACATGACAGAGCAACTGCAAGCCCAGTACTGGCACGTTGTAATGTTTGTGCAGGGCTGCGTGCCCAGGCACGCTTCAACACTGGGGCTCCCAAATGCAATTATGCTCTCGTGGTTACCAAATGTCAGTAGCAAGGCAGCGGTGTTAGGCGTAGGGTGCCACTGATCCGCGGCACGTTTTGCAGTCCTGCCTGATGGCTGGTTCTGCATTCCTTTGCACCACTGTTGGTCAAAGACAACACTCATGAAATCAGCAGTATTGAACTGACACAGGAAACATACGACTGAAGTCAGATTCAGGTTGCTCCTCAGTCTCTAGGAGGTTGCTAACAGGTAGAACAAAAGCAGACAGGAGTAGCAGCAGTGTAACGGCTAGACAGATGAGATGTTTGTGGTTTCTTTGGATAATTTGCAAGGACCAGGATCTTATTTATGGCATTTTATGTTTACATCATCAAATAATTTAATGGGCCAGAGCAAGACTGAACAGTGACTGTGAACCTCTTTTCAATTCCAATTACAGTGCGGTCTGGTGAGAGTTCTGCTTTTCCAGTCACATTTAAAAAAACCCCGAAACTTTTATTTGAAGGTGTGTCCTTTGCCAGAGAACCAAATGCATGGGAGGAGAGAGATGTTCCTTCAAAACAGAGCAAGCAAACTGCAATTTCTGAGAGATGCCTGATTTTTTCCCATGTACCTGAGGCTATGCTTGAAAAATGTTGTAAACATTCAGGCTTGCATCAGATAAGACTAATTTTTCTTAGCCTGCTCTGGTCTGCTTCAGTCTAGACTGGAATGAATGTATGTTTGTGCTTTAGAGAATTGTGCAGACCTTTGTCCAGCATTATGGGATGGCTGGTATGGTTAGTCTGGTATATACTCAGCGTTCTCTTTTGTATTACTTTCAGCTGCAGGAGGGACGACTTTGGGGTTAGGGCAGGGAATCTGGAGCCATTAGTTCTATTTACAGTTCGGTCACATACTGCCTGTGTCATTTTAGCCCTGATTCAGCAAAGTTCTTAGGCCTAAGGACTTAAATGACTACAAGTTAAACATAGAAGTGAATTCCAGGTGCCTGACCCTTCGAGTTGGATCTGGCATTCCTTCAGCATTAGTTGGGAAGGTTACACTGCAGGAATGGGATCCCTGAGGGAGATGTGTCACGTCAGCTCCCGCAGAGTGCGACAGCTCAGAATCAACACAGTAGGAAACATAACATCATGCATTTTACATCCCTTACATCTAGCAGGGATGTCTTGCAGGGTTGCGTCACAATTCCAAACCCTTTCCCTAAAGTATACATTGATTCTCTTTCTTTCCAAATACTCTCCATCCTCCTACGCGCTCCATGCCTACGTGTGAAGACGCTGTAGCATTCTGTGAGCCGGTGAACAAGTCTTAGCAGAGAACCAGATTGTCAGTACCTTCCCCAGAATCTTCTAATCCTAAACTGTGGGTCTTCTGTTTCAAGCTCCCAAGCTGCTGAAGAAAATCCAAGCAGAGTTGTTCCCTGACTGCTCTGGAAATATTAAGCTGTGCTGTCAGTTTGGTGACATTCATGGTGACTCCACTATCACATGGACTAAAGATTCCAAGTTACTAGCTCGACTGGAGAGAAGGTGAGTGAATGATTCTGAAGGACTGGTAGTTTCTGAATAGCTTTTGGGAAAATGTGCCACTGACTCACTCTTGTACCTTTTAAAAGGATTAGTATAAGTGCAAAAAATACCTTTAAACAGGGCAGTTAAGCAGCATACACTTGCACAGTGCATTCATATTGGTCATAGTTCACATCACCAGTAATTCCTCTCAGCCCGTTCATAACCAGTCTCCTCCAACTTTCAAGTACTATAAGGATCAACTGAAGTTTGCACCTCAGCACCCAGCCAAGCACCACAAACCCGTGTGGTTGATACGTGGGAGACTCCTTGTCCTGCAGAAAGAACTAATGTGCAATGTAGGGCTTGAAGTGATTATTCCACAGTATCAATACAGGCTGGGGCGGGAATGGACTGAGAACAGCTCTGCAGAGAAGAATTGGAGTAGGGGTGGACACAAAATTGAACATGAGCCAGCAACGTGCCCTTGCAGCCTGGAAAGTCAGTCTCGTCCTGGGCTGCATCACAAGCTGCGAGGCCAGCAGGGCGAGGGAGGGGATTCTGCCCCTCTGCTCTGTTCTAGTGAGACCCCACCTGGAGTGCTGCGTTCAGCTCTGGAAAGTCAGTCTCGTCCTGGGCTGCATCACAAGCTGCGAGGCCAGCAGGGCGAGGGAGGGGATTCTGCCCCTCTGCTCTGTTCTAGTGAGACCCCACCTGGAGTGCTGCGTTCAGCTCTGGAGCCCCCAATGCAAAAAGGACGTGGACCTGTTGCAGAAAGTCCAGCGGAGTCCACGAGAATGATCCGACAGCTGGAGCACCTCTCCTGTGGGGACGGGCTTCAAAGAGTTGGGGTTGTTCACCCTGGAGAAGAGAAGGCTCCGGGGAGACCTTCCTGCAGCCTTTCAGGTCTTAAAGGGGGCCTGTAAGAAAGCCAGAGAGAGACTTTACCAGGGCCGACCGTGACAGGGCAAGGGGCAGCTGTTTTAAACTGAAGGAAGGCGTGTTTAGTTTGGATGGAAGGAAGAAAAAGCAAAGGCCCGGAGAAAGTCGAGTGAGGAGGCAGTATCGAGGCACAACATACAACGTTTTGGGCTTTTGTGTTCATACTTTATATATTTGGCCATGCTACTGATAGGAATATTGGAATGTCTTTTGGTGTGATTTAATTATTTTTGGATTTGACTGAGGTACTTTTGTCTGAAAATGTAGTAGAGTCATCAGTTGTGAAACACATAATAGGCTGAATGCTTATGAAAAGAAGTATTTTGCCTGCTTGCATCATGTTTCAATCAGTCTTTGCAGTAAGGGACACACATTTCAGGAGAGATATATGGAATAATCAGGAAAGATCTTTTAAGTGTATTAATTTGGAAAATTGACATATTCTGTTCCAGTGCCCAGGATGACTCTCCTGTCTCTTTGGCGATAGCTAAAGCCAGTAACAAAGACCAGGGAATGTATTACTGCTGCTTGAATAATATGTATGGAAAGGTGACTGCTGAGTTTAATCTGACTTCTGAAGGTAAATCCCAGCTTATAATTTTGATTAATAATAATGACAATGGAAGTTTTCTTTCTTTTATTTTTTTTTTTTACTGCAAAATCTGTTTCATTGTTTCTTTGTAGTTTTGGAACATCTCTCAAGTTTTCAGAATTGTCAAGGTAAGTGCACACATCTGCATGAGTGTGTGCTCAAATCTTTGTTCTTTCTGCTTCGCAAATAGAACAAAGGATGGAAAAATGTAACCAGACTGAGACACTTTGACAATTATCCTGGGGGAAACTCTGGGAATGGATGGTGCTGTTAAATCAGTATCGTGTTTTTGCTCGCCATCTTTCCCTTTTTATTCTTTCCTTTGCTCTACCATCAAAGATAAAATTTGCTTTGTTGAGTGGGAGTTTTGTGTGTGAAATACTGATGGAATGGTTGGTGCAGGATGACGGAGCACCCGCTGTGACAAACTGTTGATTTGGACCTGACCATGTAACTTCTCCTTGGCTTGCTGCACGCGGGCAGCAGGGAGAGGGGACGGGGCAGTGGTGTTGCATTACGTCAGAGTGCAGCACGGGCACGCCCAGAGCAGGGAAAGCTCTTTTGGCAAAAAAACTTGACAGTGGTGGTAGAACACATGGTCTTTGCAGCTCACCTGCTGTGTAACTTTACTCCAAGAGAAAGGCAGCATGAAGATTTGGAATGCTTTCCACATATGTTAGCTTGTGTTTAATCGTACTCGGCATATGTCTTGCTGTGCTGCAGCTAAAGATAGACAGTGCATTGCAAATTGGTTTATCATTTCTGAACACTCTGTACTCATTGAGTACTTCATTCGGCCGATTGATTTTCTGTTCTTTTTCTAGAGCAGTAAAATTAAATGTGTAGCTCCTTGTTAAAATAGCCAGGACTTCTGTGTAACAGCACCGTATCACTTTTGATCATCAGAGGAGTTTAGGTGGAGTTAAGTTGCCTTCTGATTCTAGTTTTATATGTGCACTGTTCTCCTCTGTGCTTCAGAGAGAGGCAGTAGTGTAGAGAATCTAAACCAGAGATAACTGCAAGAGGGAGCTGGAAGGACTTCATTGTATACACGTTTTTCTCTCTGTGTGTCTTTTCCACTGATGTTCCCTGCCTCCAAGAGAGCCTTGGAGTGCAGTTAGAATTTTTTTATTTTGCTCAGTGCTTAACCTCAACCACTTTTTTTTCCCTCTTTAATTTTTTCCCATTTGTGTTCCACTGATCATTTAAAAGGGTGAAATCCATAATCCTGTTGTGTTTCCACTGGCCATTTTCTTTAATACTCAATATAAAGATGCATTTGCTCTCCATGTCCCCCCCTTGCCCCATGGCTGCAGGAGGGTGTTCTGCAGAACAAAGTGGCATTGTGTTTTAGGTGCGGAAGAAATTGAATTCATGCAGCTCATGTTCAGAGAAGATTTCATCAGTGACAGCTATTTTGGTGGGAACCTGCGTGGAATAATAGCTACAGAAGAGCTTCACTTTGGTGAAGGCATGCACCGAAAAGCCTTCCGAAGTAAAGTGATGCAAGGGCTCGTGCCCGTGTTCGGGCCTGGGCACGCCTGCGTTCTCAAAGTGCACAATGCTATCACATATGGGACCAAGAGTAAGGATGATCTGGTTCAGAAGAACTACAAACTAGCACTGCAGGTAAGCTTCGCCTGTTCTTTGTGAGAAGGAATTGTGGGGAAAAGCCATCTTGCAAATATTCAGACAGATGATCTGTAAAATGTTTTGAGTAATATGCCTTAGGCGTATCTGTTTGTAATACAGGAATGCTACGTCCAAAATACTGCAAGAGAGTACGCGAAGATATATGCAGCTGAAGCTGAACCTTTGGAAGGCTTTGGGGAAGTACCAGAGTGAGCATATCTGTATTTTTATATACATATATGCGTATGTGTATCTATATTGTCCTGTGCCGCAGCTGCCTGCTGACTGCCAGGAGTAATTAAGGGAGAGAAGAAAGAGGAGTCCTGAGAAGAGTGTTACAGCTGGAGTCCTGACCTAAACAATGCTGAGTGTCAAGGTGGTGAGGGAGAGCCTGTTCACATTAGAAGAGTATGACAAGGAGTAAAGACAGTAAATAGCAGTGAAAATCATGATTTGATATAAAGGGTAGAGGGAGTTGTTAGTGAAGTGACGCCAGTAGGTGACACTACTAATATCATCCAGTAACAGCAATAGGGCATAAGCCAGGCCTTCCAACTTTCCATTAAAAATGAAATCTTGAGAGAAATCATGATCGTTCTGAAGCTGATATGAAGTTGCTTCTTAGGCAAGTTTTCTATACATAGGACAGTCTTAAGTGAGAAAGCTCAACTCTGCTTCTAGGTTTTCCCAAAGACTGGTTTGTTTCATTTCAGAAGTTTTCCATTTCCCAAATATGCGTCCGTCAGACCAGGAGCACACTGCAAGTTCACCTCTGCCCCTGAGGCTGGGAAGTGGGAACCTGAGGATTTGGTAATAGATCTTTTTCAAAGGATTTACTGTTCCAGTGTCAGGCTACTGTGTAGAGTTGAATTTGCAACAGATGGCTGAAATTCCATCTGCCTTGCTTTGAGGGTAAGACCTACATGCTTGACAGAAGGCCGAATCTCCATCTCTGTTTAGATGACATAAGATCTGCTCAGCTGCACTGATTCTTTGAAAAAAAAAAAGAGACCACTTAAAGCAGTCTCTGGAATGATTCCTTAAAGCCACCTTTTTGGGATTAGCAACAGTGATGGAGGTGGCAGTGAACTCTTTTAGGGAAAATAACTTGTGCAAGTCAGCTTCTTTTCTGGAATTGCTCTTGGTAAAATTTGTGTTTGAGAGATTTCTTTAGGCAAAGGCATAACCTTTAGATTTAATATGAGCCAGACAGAGACAGAGAGTGTGCATATGTACCCCATGAAAACTAGAAGTCCGATCCAAATAACATGGGAGATCCAAATCTGGTGCTATTTTTTAAAAAAAATGGCTAGCAGATAGGAGTGAAAATAGATGATGCGTGTGTGGTTTTGGTTTGCTTTTTAATTTAAAAATTTTAAGGCTAGATTCCTTTCTTCTAGACAGCTCTTGTCAGATCACCCCTTTGGCAGGGTAGCTCCAAAAGATGGGACTGTTTGTAAGAAAGCAAGTAACTAGAAACCTGTTTTGTGGTGACAGCCATGTCCCCCTTTTCTTCTGAGATACTGCTAAGAACTCTTGTGAGCTAGCTCATAAAATGCAGTTAAGTTCTGTTAACAGCTCCAGGGGAATGGCTTTCCAAACTGACCTTGTCTCAGAGCGCTATTAAATTCCATTCTAATATACACCCATTCTACTTTTTTGCTTGCTCGCAGGTTTTAATTTTGGAGACTTACACTGTAGTATCCGTGCTGAGTTGTCCGGTGTCAGTACAAACGGCAGAAGGCTACCTGTGAGGTAGTGCGCTTCTTTCAGCAGTGTTTGCCAGTGTGGGATGTGTCAAGTTTTAGTAGTGTAGTCTGACAAATCACAGAATCCTCCACTTACACTGGTCTTGGGCAAAGCTTTTTCTAGACTGGATCAAATCTGCATGGGGCTAACAGCTCACAAAGACGCAGTCGTGTATCGGGCAGCCTGAAGAGCTGAAGCAGTGATATTCTGAAATGAGCAAGCACCCTTTGTTGTGCAGAGCTTAGGTTTTGGGGTGTAGCAGGACATTAGAAAGCATGCTTTGAAAACGTTTACGTCTGAGTGTACAATACAAAGAAATGAGCACGTAGAGGATAATGCGATTATGTCCCGGAGCTACTAGAAGATCCCAGTCTTACCCAGATGTCTCCTGGCTTGGTTTAGACTTAGTAGCTGTTCATTCACTCTCCGGAATCAGTTTGTCTGTTTCTTACACCTTCGTTGACAGAACTCTGTGAATTTTACTAGGTTTTTATCCCTTGATTTCAGGATAATTCCTATTTTTCTTGTTCATCGGCCTGCTAATAACATCCCCTATGCGACAGTGGAAGAGGAGCTGGTCGGGGAATTTGTGAAGTACTCCGTCAGGGATGGCAAGGAGGTAAATTTCCTGAGGAGAGACTCGGAGGCTGGCCAGAAGTGTTGCACCTTCCAGCACTGGGTGTATGAGAAGACCAATGGCAGCTTGCTGGTCACTGACCTGCAAGGTGAGTTTTCTTAGTGGGGACAATAAAATGGCTTTCCCATGATACAGGCTGGTGACAGTCCCTCTCCGTAAGTGCAGAACTTGCAGAGACTTATTTCTGGGAAGCGTTATTCTTGGCTTTCTGTGTCCTGTTGGCAACGCTGAACGTGCTCCTTCCGTAACCTTGCAACAGGCAGAGCCTTCTCCAGGTGTGGGCAGCACCCTGGCCCTGTGCCTGTTATATACAGCAACTCATGCACATCAGCATAGAAGATAGGACAGGGAGTTAGGATATTTTATTTTCTAGCCTCTTTAAAGTGCACTGTGTTTATTTGTGAGTGTGTTACGCTGGGGAACAGAAAGACTAATTAAATGCCTACTGTATTAACGTATGCAGTATTATGATGTTTGTGTAATCAGCAGAGAAATGGGATTTTTACGTAGCTTGTGTTACTTCTCAGCAGTGGAGTGCTTCACATGCAGGTCCTGGCGAGGTTTGAATAAACACGTTCCTTTAGAAAAAGCAGCATGGTGAAGTGTCCTTCTCACAGTTAGTAAGCGCTGCCCCTCTGGGCGTGGCTCCTCCCGCCGCTGCGGGGATGTACCAGACAAACTGTACCGATTATCTGAAACAAAGACAGACCCTTACTAAACAAAATCGGAAAAAAGGTGGAATCTTAGGAAACAGCCCATATTCTTTAACAAGGGAAGGCAGGAAAATTAGCAACAAGACATCTAAACAAGACCCCTTGTCCTGGGTTTAGCTAAAACCCAGTCCTATTTAGTGGTTTTTACTTTTCAGTTTAGTCTCTTCTAAAAGGCTATATTTTCTGCAGTCAGCAGCATGTTTGTGCAGACAGTGTGTGCTCCTGGCAGTGATAACACCTGATGTTTGCAGTCACTGCCCAGGACTGGGATGCAGAAAGGCTCTTGCTGATACTTATCCCTATAGTGCCCAAGGCCACGGCTGGCTCTCGTGTGCCACGCTGGGGGTGCCGGGTAGTAAAGGGGGTCACAAGGAAGTAAAAAGAGCTGTCCGTTTTTCTTTTCTAACCCTTCAGAACTTTCAAAGAAAAGACCTGATACGCTCTCAGTTGCACCGGATGGAATTTAAACTATGAGGGAAATATATCAAAGCCCAGTTGTATCTAAATAGCTGGTAAAATATTCTGAGCCTCATTGGAATAAGTATCAGCAAGAGCCTTTCTGCATCCCAGTCCCAGGCAGTGACTGCAAACATCAGGTGTTATCACTGCCAGTAGCACACACTGTCTGCACAAACATGCTGCTAACTTCAGAAAATATAGCCTTTTAGAAGAGACTAAACTGAAAAGTAAAAATCACTGAATAGGACTGGGGTTTAGCTAAACCCAGGACACCCCTGAAGTAATTTAAAGGGAGAAGAAAGAACAAAATTGCAGCCTGAGGGAACCGTAACGGCAGAAGTGGTGTCTGAGCCTCTGTGGAGATTGCTGCCACGAAGGATGGTGGAGCTGCAGAGAAGCGTGCTCCCTCTCTGATCATCTTCTCATTTAAGTATCTAGGCTGCACTTCTCAGGCATACCAGCTGAGATTCCGCAGGATATTCTCCAAGGAGGATGATTGGGAGATTGTCCTTTTCCTGTAGAGAAAAAATGCATGCTGCAGGGGTGGATTTGGCCTGTAAAGAAGTCAGCAAAGGGACAAGTTAAAAACGCCAAGTTTTTGAAATGCTGAAGGAGAAAGGGATTTTGGATCTCTGCCAAAAAAGTGAAAATCAGGATTGATTGACCTATTTGCTATTTGATTAGCAAAGCAAATATTCAGTTCCTACCGATAAACATTATAGTCCAAGTTTGCAAAGCATCGAAACCTTGAAACCCATAAATAAATACACACATCTCAAGGCAGGTGCACAAGCAACGATTTTGTACATTTCTTAAAATCCAGGCACCAAGGTGGAGCCCCTCCTCCCCACTGGCTGTCTGGCATGAGAAGCAAGTTCTGCCTTATTTACCACCTCATTATCTGTAAACTGCTAGTATGAGACTGACTTCTAGAAATTGCTAGTGATCCAGAGCACAGACATTCTATTTTTAATTGGGTACTTGAAAATGTTCGGAAAAAATTGTGACAAAAAATTAAAATTTGAAACATGAATCAATAAATAATATTTAATGCCTCTACATACTGTGCTCTTGAATCTGAAGATATTCCTGGAAATTCTAATGTAACATAAGCTCTCTGCTTCCTTGCTGCCTTGTAGGTGTAGGAATGAAGTTAACTGACGTTGGCATAGCAACACTGGCCAAAGGGTGAGTAAAAAATTATTTTTCAGCAATATGGTTTTGCTTTACACATCAGTCTCTTCACAGTGTAAATATGTTGGGGGACGGTGCACTGGAAATATACTCTTGCTTTAACACAGGAAGAAAACAGCCCTTATCTGACTCTTCTAATTTTTTTGTTCATATTTATGGGAACCTGCCTAAAAGGGAAACATGTTCATTTTGTTCTAAAAGGATGGGGCTATGCTGTAGATGAGGGTTTGCTTTTTCTTCATGCCTCCCTTAAAATAGGCACATTCAAAGGGTATTTTGTGAGTGAAATCAAGGTCTGTGGTGATTCACGAGCAGGGAAGGTGTTTTACTTGCTGGTCCATCAGCTGGAGGAAGGTAGGGCCAAACGTGCAGGGCCAGCACTGCTCCAGCCTCGGGTACGGCTGTGCTGACCGTGGAGGGGCTGTCTCAAGCTCAGCTCGGGCTGAAGCCAAGGGGCAGCTGGGCTGGCGCTCCCTGGCACCGCCCCAGCAAACGCAGGCGCGATGCCCTCCGGCCCTACCAGCAGCAGCTCCTGCCAGCAGCTGAGGTATCCCTGCTGCCCTCCTGCTCTTCCACGGGAAGAAGAGAGGATGCCTGCCACGGTGCTGTGGGAACTAGAGAAGGAAGTGCCCTGAAAGGGGCCCAAGTTTTTACTGTCCTTTTTGTAAGGAATTTAAAGGGATGGTGCAGGGACTGCATGGGAGAACACGGCTGAAATCCCTCTTGCAGCCAGCAGAAATGCCAAAGCTTTAGAATATGTTTTTATGGTACCAGCTTTTATAAAGCCTCTTTCCTCGGTTTGGAACTCGATGAGTTAGTTTTTGTTCCTCCAGCAGGCGGTGACTGTGAGCTTTTCTTGAGTCGATGTTCTTGTCAGCAGCATGGGTGGTGCAAAGAAGTCTGTTCAGCTTTGCCAAGGCCACTCACCTGATAAAAAGGGAAATGTGTTAAGGGATTTGATGGTATCTTTTTCCCTTCTCTCTCAAAAACAGTGATTCTGGGCTAAAACAAAAGATCTCTTCATAATATTTAAAGAGGCCTGTTTCTCAGTAGTTTTGCAATGGCTTCAGGGCTTTGAATTAAGCATGTGCTTAAAGATACAGACATTTAGCGTTCTGACTTCCACTTCTCTTAAGTTTCTGGTGATTAAAGCTTCTAGTTATATCACGGGCCAGAGGAGCCATTGACAGGAGTGAGCAGTGCAGGCGGTCGTTCAAGTCAGCTGGCTGCTGGAAAGGGAAAGGGAACGGAGGTAAACGCCTGTGACCAACACATGAAATTCAAGTTCTTTGAGAGACTGACAGGAAAAAGCAGATTCGGTCACATGGATTCAGTCTTTATACCAAAATGGAGCTGGTCTGTACACTTGTGGTGCAGGAAAAAACCCTCAGAATATTCTGGGAAAATCCTTAACATTTGCAGTCTGGCATCCATTCAGAACTTGCATGGATTTACTCTTTTAGCTGTGAATCTAAAGTGAAATCAGTTGAAATGAAGTTGCATCATCCTGTTATAAAACAAAGTCATAAAAAATTTATTTAAACAGCGCTGTTCTCTGGAATCAGAAGATTTATAGAAATGCTTTAATGGATGTTGTTGTCCAGGTCACTCTGGGCAATTATGCCTATAAAAACTCATCTTGGACTGGGGAAGAAGGTGGAGTTAGAAAACAAACATACAGTGCAAGCTGTACTAAGGATCACCTCGGTCACAGATAAGGGAATATCATTTTCCTTCATGAAAACAACCTCTTAAAAACGTTGAGTGTCACTGTGTTTGTCATTTAGCTGATGGTATTGCTACAAGACAGCACATTTTTCCTGGTCCTGTATCTTTCTTTCATGCTCCTTTCCCAGAAGTTACACCTCTGCATTAGCATCTGCAGTTTGATTTTTAATTCTGCAAGCCTGCATGGAGAAAACCACCAAGTACACAGAATTCATCTGTGTGACTGGCTGTTGCTGCTTTTGGTAGAGCGCAGCCATGCTCGTGAGAGGTCGTTTATCTCGCGTGCTGGGGAGAACATACATAGTCCTACTTAACTGAAAAACGTGTATGATGCTGTTGTGATTTTAACTGTATTGTTAGAGAAAATACAAAGCTGCTTTTTTGCTGTAATGACCTATAGAAATTCCCAGAATTTCCTCAACCACTCTTTGCAGAAGCAGTGGCCTCACTGGTCAGGTCCTCTGCCTCCTGTTCTTCTAAGGCTGGGTCAGTCACATCAAGGCAAACCAAAACTCATCGTCTTCATCTTTCCTTCCGGTAGGGACTGTGGAGAGATTCATGATTTCAACAATTAACACTTTTCAGAGTAATTCTGGTCTTTTATCCCTCCTGTTTGTGTTTTACCAGTGAGTTAGAAGCTGAAGGAACCCAGGGAGTCATTTGTTGAAGGCTTCGAAGAAGCTGTGGTACGGTTTCTGTCAGTAGAGGGCAAAGCCTAACTAGAAACCGAAAAGCCTCGGAAGTGTTTTTAATGTAGCCACTGGGGCGCACCAGAGTCAGGCAATCAATCCTTTAAGCAAGGTACTCGGGGGACTCCGGGGAACACAAACAAAAATAACCCAGCACAGAGACAGGCGGCTAAGTGCAGGCAGCGAGCCAGGGTAGAAGCAGCGCACAACTGTCCAGGTATTTACCCGAGAGTGGTGAGCACAGCGATGGAGGAGCGAGGGGCACGGAGACCCATGGACGCGGGGATTAACAGGAATGCTCTTTGTCAGCTGGAGGTCTGAAAGTCTGTCTGGTTTCAGGGCATTAACAGATTTAGTTTTAGTTGACACAGCAACAAGAGGCACTGGGGAGTTTAAGCCTGGGGACAAATCCACCATTCTCCTTTCAGATTTAAGGGAGATTTGGTTTGGGCCAGCCCCCAACCATCAAGATTTGGAGATGGAATTCTGTCCGGGTTTTATTTATGAGTCGTCAAGTTGGTGAATTAATAGCACATGCTCTGCAGAATAGCAGATTTGTATTTTTAAGGCTTGGAACGATCAATAGTTCAGTGTTATTGATCCCCAAAGGTGAGAGCGATACGGACTGTACAATTTAGGAGCCATTCGCTAGTGGACACCTTTGCCGATTGCCCGTACTACAAGTTGTAGCAGTGCAGAATGGTTTGAGTTAAGCTCACAAGTCCAGCCAAAGCACAACAGAGCTATGGTCCTTAGGTCTGTGCAGAACAAACAACACGGGCTGGGAGCGCACAAGAGCGGCTCCGGGAAAGCAGCGACCAGCAAGTAGCTGGGAGAATTCTGGTGTGAAACTGAGCTCTCACATCTGTAGGGTAGTTTGTGTCTGGCCCACTCTTAAGACCTGGGGCTGCCTGCCCACCGCGGAGCCAAAGCAGGCTTGTTTATGCCTCTCAGCTTCCCAAAGAGACGAGGAATGTTACCGAGGCCACATCTGTAGCCACAAGACCAAAGGCAAGCCTCTTACTTTAAGAGAATGGAAATGAGGATGGCTAGATTCGGGAGGAAAACTAGTAAAACAAAATAGTCGTGTTTTTAATATAACTGTTCTCTTACTTTTTCTGCAAGTATTTCTGGCATTTGTTGAATTCTCAAAGTTTGTTAGTAGAGCATTCAATTGTGCCTTTAAAGTGTCTCTTACTCATAGTATCGTCTGAGCAAATGGTACTGTTTCTGCTCTTTGTTTAGATGCTCCTTCGAAGACACAGAGGAAGTGACAAATACCAAGTACAGATAGGAAAGCCATTTAGACAGAGTTTTATTTACTTCGTGAGAAAACTGGATTTTATTAGCTCAACTTTTTCATTCCAAGATGATTTCCAGAAAGAAATTAGTATTATCACAATTTTATAGCATGCAGAAAACACACAGAGAAATTTTCTTTAGCTGCAACAAAATGACTACCTAGGGAAAAAAGAGTGAGAGCAAGAGCATGGTCATTTATCAGCCACAGATTAAAATAGTCAGCGTTCGGTGCAGCGCAAATTCTCACCCAACGGGTAGCCCTGGAGGTTACTCATCAGAAGATGCCTGCACAGAGGGCAGGAGAAGTGAAGCCTCTTGGTCAGCCTTGCAGCAAGCAGGGCCACGTCCAGCAGCAGAGGAAGCAGCTGCTGCCGCCCCAGGGTCGGCTGCCCCGCGCCTTGCCATCCCCCGCGGGCACCTGCCTTGGCCACACACACGGCTGCAGCACTCGAGCGTGCTGGGACCACAGCTGGTGTTGCCGCTGGCGCCCACGGGGAAGACCAACGGGTAGTTGAATATTCATGATAAATTCCTAAAACCATTTCAGTCTAAGTTCCTGTTCTTTGCTGGCAGTGCCTTGCTCTGCTTTATCTAGTTTCTGGAGTCAGAGTCAACTTGGTTTTCTTGCTGAGCACAGGTGTGTTTGCCGGCGGAGCGTAGGTTCTGATGTGTCTGGAGCACACACCTGCTGTCCCTAATAAGGGAGCTCAAGTGTCACGTCTCAGGTCTGTTATTTGTCCAAAGGAGCGAGAGAACGGTTCATTTTCTTGCCGAGCTCCAGGGACTAGTCCTGAAGTAAAATGTCAGTGTGCAGTGCCGAGCGAGGAGAAGAGGGGTGCGTGTGCTCCGCCAACACCCTGGCTCTGCCAGCCCGCTGGAGGAGGGCGAGGTACGGTGCGTGAGAGTGCCTGCCCCAGGAACACTCCTCGCAGCCTTCTGCCCCACGAGGCTTGACTCCTTGAGATCTTGTAGGCGAGCCTGGGAGAGAGAGGAGGGTAGCACAGAAGTTATGTGTATGTTTGGGTGGAAACAGCTTCTGGTTCTGACACCACCTCGTGCGGCAGCCTTGTCTCTTCCTGGCACTCAGAAGAACTGTTTGTAGGGAATGATATAGGATGGATTTCATTTAGATATTGCTGAGACAAAGTCAGCCAGCAGACAGTTATATTCCCAGCTAAATGAAATGAAAAATAGTAGCCAGGACACAGACCAAAGAGCTGTGCCTCTTTAACCCTTTTCCCTCTTCTGTTGCTACTTATTTCCTGGTTTCCTTCACCTCTCAATGGCTCAGTTTGATTTTCCATGGCAGAGTTAGTGCTTCTCAAAGCAGCAGGAGTGGAAGAGACTTGCTTAATGTTTTCAAGATGCTTGTGAGTCAGCATTCATACTCTGCCTGTGCTGTAAATGAATCTTGAAATCCCATTTGGCTTTTTTTCTGTCTTTGTTGCTACAGATACAAAGGTTTTAAAGGCAACTGCTCGATTTCCTTCATCGAGCAGTTCCGAGCCCTCCACCAGTGCAATAAGTACTGTGAGATGCTGGGGCTGAAATCTCTCCGAACTGCTCATCAGAAACAGAGGAAAGCAACATCCATGAAAAGCAAAAATCTACCAAACTCGTCACCTATAAAGAAAACAGTGCCCAAGAAAGCAAGAGAACCTAGAGACTTCATTTCTTCAGAGCACTGACCTACACTGCCCCACCTTGTGAGAACTCTCGAGGATGCGCAGGAGCGATAGGCACCAGTGACGGGCAGGGGCCAGAACTTCAGCCTTTTGCCTCCCAGTGTGATTTTCAGGTCACCCTGATGTGGATGCCAGCAACAAAGAGAGGAGCTGACTCTGTGGTCTTGGTACCTGAGATGTAACACCAGGGCAAGATTTTGGAGACGAGCTAAGACCTCTGCCTGGATTATTTTACAACTCTTCCGTGTATTGGTATCTGCACATTTTAAGTCTTGGACATTGAGCACGCCGTAGTCACTGGAGGGCATCTTCCCTTCTGTGTGTCTGTGCCTGTGGGTTCAGCTGCTATGTTTCAATATATTTAAGATGCCACTAAGTTTTGCACAGTATTGTTTTCAGGCTGCTGTAGAAAAATTTTCTTTCCCAGATTTTTGCATATTGTAATCCTAATACAATCCTATTCTTGTAATCTTTTCTCCCACTTACATATCTTTTAATACAAGACAAAACCATTCATGATTGGATCTATCTGTCTTCTGCCCACCACAAAATTAGCTAGAAGGTTTAAGGTCCTTGCAAAGTGATGTCATCAGCTTAGAAATAGGAAACCGATGTGATTCTCCACAGAATTCCTTGCTTTCTCCGCAAGCTTCCTCGAATCTGCAGTTAACCCGGTGGCACCGTGCTGTTGTGCTGGCTCCCATCCTGTTGTAGCCTAGAGCTTTGGAGTCTGCACGCTGCCTGGAATAGCCCATTACATACCAGTGCGTGGACAATAGCCCTTTCCCCTTCTGAGGTGACAGGAGTGCATCTCAGCGACGGCTTTGCTCCCGCCGGCTTCCCTTTGCCTGAGGTGCTCTTGCCAGGCTGTCACGGAGGAGCTGGCAAGTGGTTCCCCAGCTCGCTAAAGGAGACAGTTCCCGGCTGTTCAAGAAACACCGAGCACGATGGTGGCATGTAGCATCTTTGGGAAGGAAATTTGCTCCCATTTCCCTTTGTAAGTGTTCCGCTTCCTGATAATGCTGATCTCTGAGACACAGGGTATCCGGGAAGCCAACGCTCCCCGCCAGCTTCAGAGAATTATTTTTGGTGGTACGTCATAGCTGTGTGAAAACGTCACCGTACTGCACTTGCCTGCTGTGCTCAGTGCTGATGGCAGCACAGAGACAATGAAAAATTCCCTAGTCTGGAAGGATGGAGGTCTCCCTCCTGCAAGCGGCTGAGCTCAGGTGGATTCTCGGAGCACTCACCTGTGACCATAGTTCCATCCCTGCAGTTGTTTGCAGGACTGCATCAGCACTTTCTTCTTCCTGAGTCATTAATGAGAAACGTGGAGAACACGTAGTTTGCACCTGTTGGTCAGGATAAGCCCAGCAGAAACCATAGGTCTGCATGAGGGTGTTTACGCTCTCCATGTCCATAGCCACAGCACGGGGAAAGGCTCTGTCGGGCCTTCTCGAGACAAACCACCACAGATGGGGACAGCCTTGTCCCCTGGCAGTGAGCACACGGGAAACTTTTAGAATCTTTTCCTCTGTGGGGAGCTGTCCTCCCGGCCCACTGATGGAGCATTAAGAACTTGGGCCACATTCTGTTTATACTTCTATTTTGATGGATTTGATATTTTTCATTCAGCTTTGAACTAGACATCTGTATTCAACAGCTAATTTTCATTTTCTTATTATTGATCTTGCAGAGTAAATGTGTACATGGAGCATTATATAATAACAAGCCATCACATTTGGATTAAATAGGTATACACCCAGCTGAAATGGATGCTTTTCCATTGCTCGGGAGTTTATTATTGAACATACTTTGTTTGTTAATAGACATATTGCATTGCTGAGGTATTGGCAACACTGTATGAGTACAATTCCTGGATTTCTGTCAGTGGAAAGTCTAACTGAAGATAATAGGCAAACCTGGCAGTATGCTGGTTTAAAGCAGACATTTTTCTGTAATGGAACAAAAGCTTCAATTATAATAATGTCACATGAGCCTGTTAAAATTCAGTCATTGCCCTTGAGTTCAGCTGCATATGCAATTACACTGAAATAATTATACGTTAATTTCTACCAAAAGTAACAAGTGCTTGACTGATTATCTGAGGTTAAAGTCATCGTGCCGTGGCACTCAGATGCTTCTCTTCGGCAAATCTAAGGGATGCAGAGAATTGAAGCTTTGCCTCTTATTTGTGTCCTTGTAGCCTCGTCCCCTTTCACACCTGCCGAGCTGCCTGTTCTGCCCTCTTGTCTGTCTTGTTGGACAGGTAGGAACTCCGTGGCAGTAATACCTTATCTTTGCAGGCCCCTCTCAAAAACTTCCCCAATATTTTACTTACCAAAGCCTGTTTTTTGTGAGGGAGTGAAATAAATACTCATTCTAATTGCAGGAAAGCAGAAACTGGAACCCATTTTTAAAGGGGCACTTAGAGGTTAATTCTTGCTGCTAGCAGTTGCGTTATTATATTACTAGATATTCTTTAGCACACCCGGAATGAATGAATTACACTGTGTCCTGACAGCAGTTTGGAAGTCTTAGGCTTTTCATAGGACACCACTGTAGCTTTGGCTGAAGCGCTCAGGCTTTATGATTTAAATTCTATCATGCAGACCAACAACGATAAAACACTCAAGAATGGACTCATTAAGCTTCTACAGGATGTTTCTTCTTGTTCAAAAGTAATTCATCACATGGGTGGCTTATAGGTATTGGGTTTTTAGATGTATGTGTCCCTGGAGGTAAACTAATAATTTTACCTCTTCTTTTGCAGTATCTTAAGTGTTTTAAAAAATGTCTGACCTCCAGCGGTAATGGTTTTCAAAAACACCCAAGGCATTTCAGTCTAAGTCCATACCCACCAAGTATTAGACACATAACTCTTTTTGTTGATCTTTTTTCTGAAAAGTATCCGTAATCCTTAGAACTTTCTTACTCAGTGGAAACCAGCCTCCTCAGTCACTTCTGAAATAGAACCTTTGGCAATGGCAGCAGTGAATGAATTGGAGCACCTTAGCGCTCCATGGATTCAGGAAGACAACTTTTGAAAAGGCTTTTGAAAAGCGGTGCCCGGTTGCTGGGAATTGGCTGTAGATTCTGGTTCCAGCTTTAGATCTTAAATAACAGCCACAAGGAGGTCAGTAGGTATAGAAAATATGGAGAGGTGCGTCTGGAGTGCAGGAGAATTTTCTCTAAAACTGGAAAGTTGAGAAACTTTTAAACACAATGTCTGCAGCGTTTTTCAATCTGTGTGGGAAGATAGATCCTTGCTGCAGAAGTTAGGTGGTTCTTCATTTCAAGTTTTCAAATGAAAAATACCAGACTGCCAAGTTTCAGGATTTGAATCTGTGACTGACTGCTCTGGGGTGAGTAGATCATCGCAGCGCTGCGATATGTATTCCCAGTCCTTACGCGTACTCCTGCTTTACAAATTGCTCAGCCCAAGTCTCCAGAGGATGCAGCTTCAGAAGGCAGCTGGCGTATTTCAGATGCTGTGCCTTGAATATTTATCCACGCCGAGGAGATGGAAGGTGGAGGCCCCCACTGGGAAACAGGCAGTAGGTTTCCCCGTTCATTCCTTAGGCCACATAGCAAGAGAAAATTGTATTCAGTTCTTATTGCTGGAGCTTTTCAATATGACTCCTGCAGCTGAACCTTGCGTAGCCTAACCTCGCAGGATGCTGCTCCATTCGGCCTGAATCTCTTTTTTTTCCCTCTTCAAGAAACTTCAGTGTATCTAATACTTGTGTGGGTGTTGTAAAGGTCAAGTTGCTCTACAGTAAAAGCCTCAGTAAATAACTATTCATTTTTAAATTTTAAGGGCACAGTAGTAAGAAAGTAATGGGGAGAGAGAGAGAATCAATCTGCATTGCTATCCTGCCACAGAGCACCAGGGGAAGGTTAGCACTGTTTGACCACATGGTTGTTTTGACTGAATATTTTATATGGTTTTCCTTTAATAACACTAAAAGTGGAAGCTGAGGAGCCTGTGCTGCCAGTCCACCGCTGGAGCACCAGCAGCAGTGACTGACATTTGGCATCTCTAAAAGAACGAGTGATGTGGAATAAGCTGTGGTGACACTGCAAATTCTAGAGCTGGTCCGAATTGACAGACCTTAACCTCCAGCTCTTTCCGTTGATAAGGCAAGCAGCACATGAGCCTTACTGAGTGGGAGGAGAGAAATGGTGCAAGATGTTCTTTGAACAAGAAAAATTGCAGCCCCAGTAGTCAGGAGTGGGGCAAGTGAGACTGGTACAGGCTCCCTAGAAAGCGCTGCAGGCGTGGTGAGGCAAGGAAGGGACTTCATTTCTCTCTCAATCAAAAGTTGAGAAGAAAAGTGGCTGCTGCAGAAGCATTACACAGATGGCCTCGCAGACAAGGTCACTTCTGCTTCCCTCCTGCAAAGCCAGGGAAAAGAGCAAGGAGTTCCAGCTCCCTTGCCCACCCCCCACTCACCTGTGCACAGATTCTCTCAGCTAGAAGTGTGTTCTCAGCAAAGAGCTTTCGAAAAATAAGCCATAATTATCTGCAGCTCTGCTGGTCTCTCTGTGAGTCTGTCATAAAATATTGTGGGTGTGAAATTACTGTGATTTACTAAGTCTTGGACAGCAGGAGATTATTGGCTTGGGAGCCTTTCTGTTGCTGCCGGGTTCTGGCCGTGTTCATGCGTGACTGAGGTTGCTGGTTTTGCCGTGGTGGCAGAACAGTGTCTGTCGTTAGTGTTAATGCTTCGTGGTCTTACAGATGTCCGGTCTGTGCCAGACGTTTTGGATGTGGCCCACTACATCAGTCTTTGCAGTGCGCTCACCTGCTCCTCCCAGACAGAAGATAGGCCCAGCCTCAGGCTACCGGGCAGCACGGTGTGTCTCAGCTGCAGCGTGGTGATGCGGCAGCTCCGCATCAAGTGAGGAGGCCAATGGGTGCAATATATACTGGAAGGATGATGTCAGGGAAGTGGGGGGTTCAAGAAAAAGGAGATGATTTGAACTTGAAGGACTGGCTGCATAGCTGGTGCCATGCTCATGGTCTCAGCTCCCCTCGCTTTGTTCCTGCGCTCACA